CAAGCTTGATATATCAGTGACGTTTAACTGGGAAAATGCTGTTCGATTTGTTCAGTCATCATCAATTGGATTTGAATGCTACTGGGCCTTATTCTTCATGATTGGCGACAAAGAGTATATAAGTACTTTATAAAATTAATTAGCTTCAAAAGTGAAGCTCCCGTTTATAGTGTTTAGGTCGAAATAAATTAGTAAATTATCTCGTTCAGGAGGTGCAAGTAAGAGGAAGTTATGTCGTGAGGTTACGGGTGACCTCTGATGTAGGGGAATGATTACCGAATGTGTTTGCTTTTAGTCTAGGTTGAAATGATTAATTTGAAGTTGATATTTTGATTAAAAATGTAGACAACATTGATATACATTGGCACCATTGAGGCTAACGACGTTTTAAGGCATAAAACACTAACGATGTTTTATTGTAATAATTAAATTTGAACAATTTACATCTTTAATGACAGTATATATAATGACAGTTGTGAGGTGCCGAAACCTGAATCGGCTGTCAAGGACTTATTGATGTTCAGTCATTCATTGGGATAGGACTGGTAGCTTCTGCTCCTCAGTACCATATATGCCTTATCCATATTCAGCCACACCTTGCAATTTGGAGCTTGGAAATTTGTTCGAAATCTCGTCTGAGCTGAGCTCTCTTGATAAAAATTTGGCTTGTGGTACGTTTTGATTTATGCGTTAATTATGAAATTATGCATAGGAAGATAAATAGGTTAAAGTAATTATTTAACTCTTGTTTATTGCAATTTTAAGATCTTGGGTTTAAAATCTTCGGGCAAGCGGATCATTGCTGTACACCCCTCAATTGCGTTTGACATCAAGAATATCAATGCTGTATATGGAAATTAATGTTTTAATTTATTTGAGGACTTCTTGGTGAAATTGTGTACTACAAAATTTTTAGTTGCTGCGAGGCTTTGGTTGGAATAAATCTCAAATAAATGAGAAAGTTCGATGTTCTCCTACGACAAACTTTACTGTTAACTATGAGGAAAGTTGCAGTTCAATATATAAGATTGTTTACTCTGACATTGTAATGAGCATGCAAGCAGGTTGCAATAAATTTGCTCTTAATAATTCTATATGGATCATTGTATCGTGACGTACCACTAATAAATACGTGACGTAATACTAATACACTTTCACAAATATACTCAAATAGAGTATTATTTATAGTGAATACCTCACTATTAAAACACATGCTATACTGATAATACTGAAGACTGAGTAGTTCACATCAAAAACATTTTCACATAAAGGAACGAAATAACCGCAGGTGTGGCACAGGCAAAGTCAAATAAAATTTAATTCAAAATTGCATGTTGCACTTCCTGACACGGGAAACATAAATTAGAACAATTTTTGATAAATTATAAATTCATGTATTTAAACCACCACAACGCCGACTCATCGCATTCATCACAACGAATTTAACTTCTAAGGGATTTAGAATAAGATAGGTGTTTTTGCATAATCAAACATGAAACATTCAGACGACATGAGTAGAAGTATATGAATTCGATGACAACATTGTTCACAGAGAGGTGTTCAAGCTCGATTCAACATCATTGATAATTCAGTATATGGAATGCATTCGCAATTTACATTTTACTAATGGTTCCTCTGCCGAAAATGAGGCTTCATATAAATAACGCAACAATGTCACTCGATCACATTGTGGTTGAATTACGTGTCGGGGAATTTGACCATACTTGATTTTTGGGCGGGGAAAATGTGTCCAAAAATGATTTGCTATTTTCACTTCAGCCAATTAATACTATGTACCTAATTTTGTCATCTACTAATGTTACCTGAAGTTTAATCGCCTTTTTTTTAGTTGCTATTATGAGTCATGAGATCAAGGCGAAAAAATTCGGTATCCATGCGAATGGTTTGTTTTATGCGCAAAAATATCACGTAGCTACGGACCGGTAGCGAAAAATTATTTGGCCGTTATGCATTAAAAAAATTTAAAAAAAACTTTAATATTTGGCGACTACTTAGTAGCTATTATATTATTAGTCTTGAGTTAGAACAGCGCTTATTCGAGTCAGTTGAAAATTGATACTTATTAACTCCCTAAACTGGCCATTGATATTAAATCATCTTGACATTAAATATAGAACTTCGTCGAATTTTCGCAGGTCACCTCGAATTGACTAGTTGCCGTAATTACAGTATCGCTGGCTTGAATCTTCGCCAATTTGGCATATTCTTCGCAATTGCAATGTAGCGTTTATTCTTTCTTCTTACGCAAAAAATGACTACAGATCTAATGTGTATGACGGGATGCTTATTTTGTGGTATATATTTTTTTTTTGTTTCTAGGAAGTATTGGTTCAACTGTACGTTCTATTAATCTTGTGCTTAGATTAGTGACTAGTCAATTGTTGGTAACATTTATTTCATGACTGTAATATGGAATCTCATTTTACTGTGATATTATTTTGTTAACACAAGGGTTTAATTTATTTATGACTAAGCAATGCGTAAACAAATATTTATTTCATGACTCTCGTCTGGCTGTGATTATGGAATCTCGTCTAGCTGTGATATTTGTAGGATTTAGTTGTCAGTGTCTTGGGACGAGACTGAATGTGTAGCTCCAACGTGATTGGTTGAGCTGCTCCTGGCCTGGCGACGGTGCGCGCTAGGTAGTCATGAACGATGGAGAGTTAGGTCACTTTGGAATTAGTTTAAGATTATTCGACTTTTAACTGTGAATAGTTTGCCAAATGATTAAAAATATGATGACGTTATTGTATTGTATTATATTATCTATTTTTTTGCACTTAGAAAGTGTTTACGGTCTGTTTTGTACATTGTAAACGTGATGTTGAGGTAAGCTCATCTTGGCTGAGTTAACCCTCGCGGAAAAGTTGTGTGTGCTCAGTGTTACTGGGTTGGGGTGACACGGTTTCGACTCGAAATAGGCTGAGCCAAATTTGGGCTTGCAAAATAAACTCCACCGCAGTTCTGGGTATAACTCCTAATGAGTTCCAGTAAGAGATTAATGACGGCATAGGTGGAGTTCTTGAATAGTTCCAGATTTTGGATGCGTTGGGCGGTTAACAGCCGTTCCATTCGCACCCTCGTGTCGTAGAGGCTAATAACCTCTGGGTTCGAGTAAATTGTCAGCGGCTCATTGGAAGCTCGTACCCTTCAATAGTCGTGCGTTTGAGGCGTAACTGCCACCCCGGTTCTATGTTCTTGGCAGTGCTTTATGGCTCGGACCCCTGATCATTGCGTTGGTTGCCGGCATTGTGGTGCGGCTCGTACCCGTATCCTTGCTCTCCACTCCTGTAAAGTCGCCAGTTTTGTGGTGCGGCTCGTACCCGTATCCTTGCTGTCCACTCCTGTAAGGTGGCCAGTTTTGTGGTGCGGCTCGTACCAGTATCCATGCTGTCCACTCTTGTAAGGTGGCTAGTTTTGTGGTGCGGCTCGCACCCGTATCCTTGCTGTCTAATCCTGTAAGGTCGTCAGTTTTGTGGTGCGGCTCGTACCCGTATTTTTGCTGTCCACTCCAGGCGAGGTCGTAAATTTTGTGGTGCGGCTCGTACCCGTATCCTTGCTGTCTAATCCAGTAAGGTCGTCAGTTTTGTGGTGCGGCTCGTACCCGTATACTTGCTGTCCACTCCTGCGAGGTCGTCAGATTTGTGGTGCGGCTCGTACCCGTATCCTTGCTGTCCAATCCTGTAAGGTCGTCAGTTTTGTGGTGCGGCTCGTGCCCGTATCCTTGCTGTCCGCTTTTGTGGTCATCTGTAGTTTATTAGGATTCCTCGACGTTGTATCCCTGAGGCTGAGACCCAGTTTCCGGGCGCTTTTGGACCTAATAAATTGTGTGCCTTGTACAGTGGAATGTGTATCGCCCGAAGATCACCAATATATAACGAAAAGTTCCTCGTGCTCATTCCTCCTTTCTCCAACGCAAGGTTCACGCACCATGCCATACTTCACGTAAAATGCGCACATTCTTTGAAGAAAGTGGACTGGAGATTGTAGACAGGCCTGGAAATTCTCCAGACATCAATCCCATTAAAAACTCATGGGCTATAATCAAACAAAGACTCCTGAAAGAAGACTGTTCTACAATGGCAAAGCTAATTTCTGCTGTAATTAGGACCTAGTTTCATGATGAGCAAGTGACTAAAATGTGTTCAACATTGGTCGAATCCATGCCAAATTGTATTCAAATGCGTGTAAAAGCAAAAGTAGGTAATATCTGCTATTAATTATATCACATTTGGCCCATTGGCATGTTTTTTTTTCAAATAAAACTTCAATGTGGCAAATAATTGTGTTATTTCAACCACTGTCCGAACTAATTTGCACAGTACTGTATCATTGATTCTTCACTAGTAAACACTAGATCTAGAATATTTGGAGTCTGTTTACCCCTAAAATGGGTTGGCTTGGTGATGTTCTGGATTAAACATGAGTCTCTCACAGACTCCAAGAACAGGGATGTTGAGTGATTCCCATCTCTTGGAAAAGATTCATCTGCCCCGTCTATTTCTGGATTGTTAAAGTCACCAACGATCAACGTATGCGACCTGCTGAAAGCCATGCTCCGTAAAAGGCTGTTTAGTACTTTTTAGTTACTTTTATTGTTATCAGAGGAGCTGCTAGGTGATCTATAAATGACCCCCTATGACAAGGCTATCTTTGCCTTTTAGAGTAAGTTCGCACCACACTGTTTCTCTAGCTGATTGAATTGATTTTATTGATGGTACAATTTTGAAGGTAAAATAATTTCGTCGTTTACTGAATTTTAATTCTTCAGAAATTACACGGGCGTTATCCGTGCTCAAGAATTGACAAGATTTAATTACCAATTATTTTATAATTATTTAATAGTGAAATGATGAAACACGAAATAAACAATCGAGTTCAAGATAATTGTGTAGGATATTGTTGCAGAGGTTGAAAATCACGAGTTTGAGGGTTTAATAAAATTAATTATGACATTCAATAGAAATACTAGTGCGAGATATAAATTCAAGTCGCTACAAGTACTGATATAATTTTTTGGCTTTGTCTTGGTCTTGAGTTTATGCACATTTAGTACTTTTATGAAAAGATAAACGCAGTTAACTGATCGAGCTAACCATACTTTGTATAAATTATGGACCAATACATGAGATTGAAGACGACCATCACCGCTGATATCGCCAACCGACTCACCAACTCCAGAGCCTGCGGCGACATGGTACAGCCACTGTCGCTGTGTTTTAGCTCGTGGAAACAATGATATTGCCATGCTTCCTTAACTGGTAATTCAGTCCCATTTGTTTTATGAGAGAATTTCAAATGTTTCGTCCTCGATGCTCCCATAGTCTTTGTGTTATTCTCTCCCGAATCACTCATGGTCGAAGGGAGTCCAACATCACTCCTCTCTACCAGCACGTGGAAAACAATTACTATAAACGTCGTGAAGATGCAGAAAAGCAGCCAAACGTCGACCATCTTGAAGTACGATGTTTTGGGTAAAGCTGCGGACGTCTGCACGAAAATTTAACCAAGTTTATTAGCCGAATATCAATTTTTTTATTTTTACAGCGTCCTGAATTCATCGCCTACCTTCTCACTGATATCTAAATTTTCAAGTCTTCTTCGTTAGCCGATGATCAGACACTGTCAATATTGCTGGAAAATTGTACGTAATTCGTAAGGTAATAAATAGTCACTCTGAAATTATGATTTTTTCCGGCGTCTCAAACTTGTTAATTTGTCCGTAAGGAGCGCCGGACCGATCTTATTAATAATTCGTGTGGTTATGCTGCGCCAATAATATAAATTTGTAATAATATAAATCTTCATGAGAAGGTGGCGTGGGGTTTGCGTTCTGTGATAGCATTGCTGAGGCTCCTAATGGCTGCACATAGGAAATCCTACCGATGGTGGTGGTGGTGGTAATAGGCGAATAGCACGTGCTAGGTGTGTGAGATAGCAAACCAAACGTTGGTTTGGGTTAATTTCTGTAAGTATTTATCTTGAATAAGTACCAGAGAACCAATTAGTTGTTACAGAATTGCTCACCTGCGAGAAGAGAGTTGCCATGACGAGTAGGGTAGTGAGGGCGGTCATGACGCGGGAGTCGAAAAAACGGCGTCTGAAGAAGAGCGTCATAAAAGCAATGAAGAGCATCGTCAACGACGGCGTGTAGATGTTGATGAAGGCGTAGCCGTGCAGACGTGTCAGCGGCACCAGCACCTCATGTCGTGACGGGAATGACAGTTGTATTAAATTGTCCAAGCATGACGAATAGACATGACATTAGTTCATTATGTACACCCCAATATGAAATGGTCCTTGAGAAGGGCCAATTAGCTACATATGGACGACATCGGACGAACTCATTAGATGCGTTTATTAAGTTTCCTTGCTCTGTAGGAATCATTCTCTGCAGGAATGTGAATTCTTAATTCTAACCAATCTAAGTTCCAGTATGAGGTGCGCGTTGAATGTCGTGAGATAATATGGTATCTTGTGAAACTTGGATATACCGATTTTACTTCACCGTGAACGGGTTACTATCTAATTTTCAGTAGCACACGGAAAGACATGAATAGCAAATATTTTTCTAAATATAAGAACCGTGTAGAAGTTATGAGAAAATGTTATGATTTTGTGAATAGCAAACAGACGATGTTTACTTCAGATTTGTCTGAGTATCTGTGATGCTCGTTAATTACAGCCTTACAGGCTCATAATATTGAGACTGAGTATTATTATTACTGAGTATTATTAAGTACTGAGTATATATAATTCATAAGCCAGATTATTAATGGAACTAAACTTACCACGAACGAGGTCGGCGAATCTTGCACGAGCTTGACATCACCCACTTCGTACTCCATGAGAAGCTTGGCGCCCTGGTATGACGCTGCCGAAGTGGCGAGATGGAAGTATGTACAGCAGGCATCCCGCAGCTCGAAAACCATGCTACACGTCTGACGGTCGAACGGGTACAGCGTGAAGTCGAAGTCGCATGTGAACGACGCCTGGTATTGCCGGTGGTTCAGGATACTGTTTGTTGAGCCAGGGTACAGCTCCACTGCAGGCAATATAAAATGAGTAATGATAATAATCATGATATTCGTAATACCATGGAATAACATAGTGGTTTCAGTTTTTTATTATGAAATTTTGGCTTGTTGTTCGTTACTCGTTCCTACTAGCCCACAGCTCTTCTCGAGGAAAGTGATTTTATTCCACTTACCATTCAATTCAAATGCAATCAAATTTTTTTCTAAATCACTGAATCTTTTTCTAAGCTGCTCTTACCCTCTTCTGCCAAACTGTTATCTCTTTCAGATGACTTCTCTTGTCTTTTGACATAAGTTGACATTTTCTCGTCAATCTGGTTGAAGCTGTGATCGTTTGTATTGACGAAAGCAATGGTTGGGAACCAAATGCTGACGTTGCGAGTGACGACATTGAGGCTGGTGTCATTCTTGAGATTCCTGAACGTCGCCCTCGACTCGTACCACTCCAGAGTAAGATTAAACGTCGTTGCTAGGATCATGGACTGCGTGTCGACAAAGATGTTGTGTATCGAAATATCTGCAGAGATAGCCAAGTCGCCGGCTGCGTTTCGCGGTGGAATGCTAGCCTGGGATGAAAAAACAGCATTTAAAGACATGTTTTGCATGTGTTTTGGTATGTGGATTGGAAAGAGAGACAAGAAAATGAAATTATATAGAATGAATGCAGTGCTGCTCTGGCTTATCTGGCAATAGGGAGAGAAATGAACATTTAGAATTGCCTTCGATACGAGTGGCACTTAGGACAGTTAACATGCGCTATACCAACTGATTGTAACATTAGTCATCAGGGCAATCGATAAGAAAAACTCCGAGGACAAGTAAAATACCCTGTGTTAACTGAATGTAACTCTAGTTGCCTGTTTATTCGATACGAATAGTCTCCAGTCACGAATGACAGTAAGCATGAGCTATGTCTAATACATGTAATATTAGTTACCTGGACCTTCGATAGGAATAGCTCTGAGGAGTGAGGACTGTCAAAATAACATTCGTCCACTGAATGTAACGCAAGTTACCAGTCCCTTAACATAACATAACATAACATAATGATGTCGGCGCTGAAATGTAGGCCTGATGTGGCCTGTCGCCGATTCTTTTCCTTTTCGTGCCTTGTTCATAGACTGTCTCTTATACACATCTTAATGAANCAACAATTTTGACTTGAGGCCATTACCATCCTGTTAACGAAGCTGACTTAAAGCTATTACTATCCAATCAACAATTTTGACTTGAGGCCATTACCATCCTGTCAACAACACTGACTTGGAGCCATTACCATCCTTTCAACAACACTGCTTTGAAGCTATTGTCATCCTGTCGAAAACATTGACATGCAGCTATCACCACCTTTTCAACAACAGTGACCTGAAGCTATTACCAACCTATCAACATACAGCATCCGACAAGTTAAAAATTATTGCTGGAGCTTTAGAGTCTGTTAAGTTAAAATAAGTTAAGTCTCTGACTCAATATGTTAAGTCTCTGACTCAAGTCTCTGACAAGTTAATATAAGTTTGGGCTACAACATTCGAGTCAGTGATAAGTTATGATAATTTAGGGCCAGAGCACTCGAGTCTGTGACACTATAGCGTCAGATCCCTCTGGAACAGCATGGACTTGTCGATAGGATATCTGTACCTCTAGGCCCTAGGATATCTGTACCAATGAAATATCTACACAAATAGGATATCTGTAACAATAGGATATCTATCTGTACCAATAGGATATCTGTACCAATAGGATATCTATTTGTACCGATAGGATATCTGTACCAACAGGATATCTGTACCAATAGGATATCTGTAGCCGGTGACCAGGAGTGTTGCGAGGACTCTCCCGGTCCGAGTGTCGCGCCACCGCCATCCGTCATCCTCGTCGCGCTCAATCACGTAGTCCCCGAAGCCTTTGAAGACGCCGATGCCTCCAGACGATTTCTCCAACAAATAATTTTCATTGTACAAAGAGTCTTGACAAGAACCAAGCATCTTCCAGGGCTTCCCTACCGTCATGCCGCAAATTGTGCACCTACAAAATGGAAAAGAGAAGATAAATTAGTAATTTCTAATTTTTATTAATTTAAATCGAGAAGTTCTTCCAAATAGTGATAGTAATTATTGTGTTTCTTGCTATTATAATTCAGCTTTTGCTCCGTCGAAAGGGTTTCATTTATCACTACTGTTACAAGAACCAACGATTAAACCAACGATTAAAACTATCCTTAATTTAAATTGAAAAATTAGTGACCAGTGTAACAGAGAGTTGAAACTATGCAATAAAAATTAAATTTTCAATAAACATGATACAACCGAATAATTGAAATTCAAATGTTTTTAGATTAAACATCTTTTAAAGTAATTTTATATCTTGCATCGGTTATCACGTAGCGAATAAAAGCAATAACTGTATACATAAAAATAAATTTGGGAAGTAATATAGGAAAAACTATTCCTCAGAGATGATTTTGCGCGATCGTGTTTACTGCAAGTGAACTTGATTGTTAATATGCCAGCAATGGACGGGTATCAGTCTATGTTTAAATAACAGAAACTATTTTTTTTTTTTTGAAGACTGAGATGCATTACACCTTCGCCCATGCTGTGTTATGTCGTGTGCTACAATGGATGAGTTAAATGGAGAAACAATGGATGCACTTGTAAAGGACATATACTTAGTGAACTGGCTTTCGTAATTTTTTATTATTCGATACCTACGAATTGCGAAATTCGAAAATGATCATCAATGAGGCCCTTAAGCGACCCAACTCTCTTCACTTTACGAATATTTTTTCAGACAATTTTGAACTTTATTATAACGTATTAATTCTGATTGCCTTAAACATGATACAGTTTATAGTCAGTACGGTTTCGCATAGAGTAATGTACTCTCAACACAAACATTTATCCATAATTTTTTTAGTTGATTCATCAAAATTTGAATGAAATATTACGGAGGAATTGAGAATCATAAAAAATCATAAAAATAATCATAACAAATACACGAACCTCTTACTGGAGCAGTCGTCATCTATTATCCCTTCTCGGTCCAGTCCTCCACAGTTCTCGAACTTGAGACCATTAGGCTCATCAGGCGCCCATGGCAGGTTGTTAACCACATATCCGTTCCCGTGTTGGACCCAAACTCCATCTTCTTCCTCGTCCCATAGGCCAACCCAAAACACATGGCAATCGCCGACCTCCTTTTGAAAGCTGGCGAAAATCCCATTTACTTCTTGAAACGTCCATGGAATGAGCATCTGACCTCCCAAACCTTCACATACGTAGGCACCTTCGTAGAAATCAGTTTCGGGTAAAAGCTGAACATTGTACGAAGTTTCCAAAGAACAAAGTGACTTCAATGGCACATTGTATGTATTAGCGTTTTTGATCGTCAATGAGCTCTCATCCCAAGAAAACAGGTCTCCCTTTAATTCAGTTTCACATTTGGCCATAGAAGTTATTTCTGTTTCTTCTAAGACCCTGCGCCATATGTTGAACTGTGAAAGTCTTCCAACGAACTTCAATCCTGGGTATCGATTCGGGTCGATGAAACCGATATCCAAGATAGAAGCCGGTCCATTGACACCAAGTTGTAGACTTTCGGTCTGAATGAGAAGACCTTGAAGGTAGAACTTGATCTCACTTGCGTTCCTTGCTATGCAGACGTGGTACCAGACCATCGGCTGGAACCACTTACCTTCCAACATGAGATACTTGTACTCATGAGCAACTGCGTACCTCAGCTTGTCCACGTACAAACCTGAAGGTTAAAAGGCAACGAAGATACAGAACTGATTTCCTATCAACAGATTCAGAGCATAGATGAACAAACCTTGACGTAAAGATTACATTTACATTCGCTGAATCCTCTTTCTGCTCACGAGTAACTTATTCATTAATGAAGTAATATGTATGTTTTTGACTTGACACACATGTTTCAAAAGAATTTATACGCTGCATATTGTCTCGTTTTTTATAAAAAATATGACATTTTCCTGGTGAAATCTGAGGATTAAGTATTGTCATGCAAAGACAAGCAAGTATTTGAATTTCAACGTTCTTGTGAGGAATTCTACGTTATTTTTTTACATCAATGACCGTGTTCACGTACAGAATATCGCATATTTTTTCACAATTGCATATAGCGTTTAAACATATTCTTTTTGTACCAATTTCCAACACATGCTGCTTATAAAAATGGGTTTCAACCTCGCGAGCTCCATGAAGACTTTTAAACGTCGAATAACGATACTTTGTATGACGCAAAAATGTTATCTAAATTCTAAAGTTATGAAATTTTATCAATTTTTACGGACTTAGTGCATGGACTTAATTCAATTGGTATTCCTAAATCATGTTTTTTTATATCTGTAGAGGGTAAATTCGTCGAAAAGTTTCAATTAGCTACAAACTGAAATATACCTAATTGCAGAAGCGGTCGATCGCCAGGCTCATAGAGATCAAAGAGCAGGTTGTGGGCCCTGAGCTTGTCAAAGGAGAAGGCGACGCAGGCGGTGAAGGAGTCCAAGGATGAGACGGCGGCCCCCGCGCTGAAGGCTCCTGAGTACTGGCCGCTGTGAGCGTTGTTGCTGCAGTTCAGCACCAGCGTCGCCTCTGAAACCCAGCCAAACATGTTTGTGATATAGAATTTATTTCGGTCTAATCAATATAATTTTCTTATATAATTTGTATCAATAATTTGTATAAATAAATATGATTTCCCAATAGAATTCACTTTGCAACAATGTCTAAAATTTTCTAATATCATTTATATCATAAGAATATATATAGTTTTATTACAATTTATATCACTAGCCGTGAAACGCAGTGAAAGAATTAACTGAGCTGTGTAGCGAGTATTCCACAATTGCAATTTTCTTTAATTAAACTACATGATTCATTAAACTACATGATTCATGAAAAAACTATTGCGAAATGTCAACATGATTCATGAAAAAATTATTGCGAAATTTCAACAGGATTTCAAGAAAAATCTTCCTGTAGTTTATTCTTTTGAGCCGGTTAATTGAAAATTCTAAGTTGAGTCACTTTTTTAAAAAATTAAATAGAACAGATCGAGCCTCTAATTGCTCTACATGAATTTTCTTGAAATTTACATGAATACAATTCAAAACAATTTCAACCAATTCGTCAATGAGCCGTTCTTTTTGATGAAATAAATAACCGAATGCCACAAAAAACGTTGAGGAGCATCTTAGAAAACCTGCCATCTGTGAGGCAGGAGACGGTGACTCGTAACAAGTGTTGCGGGTGGTGCAGACTTGTAGCAGACGCTGTAAGTAGGATTGTCCTTAATCATTATTATGCAGGTGATGGAGGTTGGATTTTCCTGCTACTAGTGTTGCAGGTGAGGCTAACCTGCTGCAGGTGTTTCACGGGGGACTGACCTGCCATAGGTGCAGCAAGTCGGACAGACCTGCTACAGGTATTACAGGATGAACTAACCTGCTACAGGTGTTTCAAGTGGCGCAGACATGTAGCAGGTGCTGTACATGAGACTGACCTGCTGCAGGTGCTGAAGAAGGGACAAACCTGCTGCAGGTGCAAATATCAGTAGCAAGGTAGCCCCAACCGCGCCCAACATTCTGCTCCGCCACCCAACGCCCAGGCAGAGACCCGAGATCAACTCTGTCAAGAAAGAATGTCAAAACAATTATATTGTTGCACGACTCCAGCTAGAAATATTGCTGCGAATGGAGCATAAAATTGGAGCTGGTCATGAATCATGTTTCTTATGCAAATAATTTCGTGAATTTTTTGTTATAAATATACATCAAATATTTTCGAACATTTGCGATGTTCTCTCGGCTGTACGAAATGAGTTAAATGAAATGAGCTAATAATTAGTTAATAATAAATGAGCTAATAATTAGCCAAACAAATTAAGGAACTGTTTTTTAAAATACATTACCGGCTGATGAAGGCTGGATTTATCACGAGTCTCTGCGGAGTTATGATGCCTAAACTATTTAAGGCTATCCTAAACTATCCAAAGAACCTCACATGGGGCTGGAAGCGAGAAAAAAACTCATCGAGATTTTCTGCAAAAAAAACACTAAAATTGCTTTTTAGAGAAAAAGAAAGAGAAAATTTGCCATCAAGTCTTTACAGCGAGATACGTTCATTGTTCATTGGGAGTACAAATTTTTCCAGGATAGGAAAATTTTTGAAAATGTATATTCGTCCGGTTGCTACAGACGAACTTCCTTCCTTCGGCAAGTCTCGAGAGACAAAAGCGAGACACCGACTGACCAGGCGATGTTTTTATTCTCCCGCGATTGTTTTCGTCCTGTCGTTTATATATTACTTCCCACTGAAATATCAAGGCCGTGACGAATCACTGCAAAGTTTTTGCCACATTTTTCATGACAAACTTATTGCAGGAACCTGTGTTGGAGCTAAGCCTGCATAATGAAGGTGCAAAACCAAACCAGAGCGCGCGCTTGTCAGGCTGTCTTGTAAGTTCATATATCAACAGAATGATGCTCGATACGAACCACTAGTAAGGCTACTTGATGTTTCCTGTATCAACGATACCATGTAGAAACGATACTATGTATCAACGATACTATGCTCAATGTGCCTCATTATAGTCAGGCCGTCTTGGAGGTTCAGTAATCAACGAAATGATAAAATGCTTGACATGTCACAGGAAGATGAGGAGGTGAATGATTTCCACCTCAGGCGGCAAATATTGATGAACAATATTGATGAACAATGCACAATTATTCTTTGCAGCAACTCTATGGAATATAAGGTGAACTTGACGGTGGCAGCAGTTCTTTCTAAAAATCAGGGTATAACATTCATTCTAAATTGTTACAATCTGTTTGGCTTGTCGCTGCTACGTAATGGTATCACGAAATTTCAATACAAGATTTTAATTTGTAAAAATTATTTTTGAGTTCCTGCAGTCAAATAACAATCAAGAAATATTTAGTTTTATTGAAAGGGCGAAATGGAAATTCTATTTAAACAAAACGACCATTCAGCGTGAGGATTATTATGATCACCTGATGGTTGCGTGCATGATTTGACTTCCCGGTTGTGAAGTTTTATTTCGCTAAATCAAATCAGGTGATGATGAATTTAATCGATTACTTTTTAAATCTAATAGCACAAGTGTCCGCTCTTTCGTCATAGTCATTAGAACCATAACAACTCAGAAAATGAAGTCAGTTATTACGAATCGATAATGACACTTCACGTCAGACTTGTAATCGACGAAGATACTCGTACAAATGTAAGGGTCCCGTAATTTGTTGAGGATTTCCTGACGTATAACTGATGAGCTCTGGTAAAACACTGTACATCGTGTTGAATGTTCAGTATTGAAGTCTGGGTATTGTTATTGATGCTGGAAGTGACAGCGGCGCATGAGCAAACAAATGGAGCAACTGAACTGATCGAACGCCAGCCTGCAGACATCATCTCCCCTCGACGACCTTCTTTTGAGGGCATCAGAGGGAAGAAACTACGCGTAAATTAAGCAATTTTCTTTAATTTTCAAAGAAGCTCGTCCTCAAAACCTGACAGTGGTTAAATTATCTATCAAAACTAATATAATCTCCCGTCTAAAGGCGTTCGAAATGTGATTACAACATCCAATGAATCATAGATTATTTTCTTCTTTTTTTATTCGTTTATTTTTTATTTTCCCTTCCCAATGCCAACGAGAAAAATGATCGTCATCTAATTAGGATATTACTTGGTTATGTGCTCTGATTTAGCTAGCTACATGTTTAAACTCGCGTCAGAGCTCTGTCTGTACCTGCTACATAGGTATATCTTTGCAATATATAGGCTTATCTAGGCTATGGGCTTATTTAGGCTATGGGCTTATTTAGGCTATAGGCTTATTTAGGCTATAGGCTTATCTAGGCTATTGGCTTATCTAGGCTATGGGCTTATCTAGGCTATAGGCTTATCTAGGATATAGGCTTATTTAGGCTATAGGCTTATATAGGCTATGGCTTATTTAGGCTATAGGCTTATTTAGGCTAAAGGCTTATCTAGGATATAGGCTTATTTAGGCTATAAGCTTATATAGGCTATGGCTTATTTAGGCTATAGGCTTATCTAGAGTCACAATTCATAACTGCAGCCGCTACGTAGGCTTGTCTTGGTTAGAGATTTTTAAGTCCTTTCTACACAAAATTTCACGCTTAGGTCTAAAATGTCTCCGAAATTCTGAAGGTCATCCGCAGTCAGCATATTTTTGAAATAACTGAGTTAATGGACCACTCCTATGCTTTTCAGATAAATTTTTGGGACGAATTTTATAGCAGGTTTTCTAAGCTTAAATTTCAATCAAACCCGATTTTGATCAAATTAAAAACGTAGTTATTTATTCATATTATGCTCGTTCGAGTGTATTCAGATGATTATTTTTAGCGCATTTTCTCATTTATGGAAAAAATGCACTATTGTGCTCGTCATGTCCGTCCGTCCGTCTGTCCGTCTGTCTGTCCGTCCGTGACTTCACGTTTTCGTCGACGAGAAAATGCGCTCTCTGTCTCTCACTGCAGTGAGTATATTTTTTCTATCTGCATCAATTTTAATAAGCGCAACCACTGGCAGTAGAAAATAGATTATTTCGCTGGGATTGCGAAAACAGTGAGAATGTAATTTGTTGAAATTTCGACTGGTGCGAAAGAAGAGGTTCAATTGTTACTGAAGCTTTTTCTGCTATAAAAATGTATTATTTCATAGAACTGCATTGATGCAGCAGAGTGTCCATTATCTGACCCTTCGATATTTTGATGGTGAGTAAGCCCTGCAAGAGCCTCGATATCGAGCAGGGCTGACAACCCCTGTCGTGAGGTTGGCAATCCTGACGTTATCTAGGATCTTCACTGCAGAGTGCCGACGTTCTTCTTTCATCCGTCTTCATGGAGCATGGGTATAGTAGTGATGGGTTGCGCGAGATGGTAGCCATGTTTACTGTTTCACGGTAGGGGTAAACTTTTTTGTGTGTATCAGTGCTACGGACATCGCGTTACACTATATAATGAGATTCAGTTCCGAATTCGATACTTTTCGTGAGCAGTGGCGTAACTGGTGTCCTGTAACTATTTGTAGTTTTAGCGATAATTGACACGCTTCCAATGGTATAAAAGTACAGGTCGTTTTTCATGATTGCCTTCTTTCGGAAATCGATACCAACAGCGCCATCTTGCCTTGATTCATTAATACTGAATTAGGAAACATGGCAATTCTCTCGAAATTGCTCGGTCGATATTTTTTTCTTTCCATTTCCGCTTCTTATATGTGGTATTCGGTTAGCTAATTTTTGACCGAATAATTCAGCTAATTAACCCCAATTTCCAAGGAAGTGTAATGTAACGGCTATCCGCGTACCGCTCTACGTCTCGACAAAGTTACGGAATTTGTGAACAATGGTGATGGTCATTGTCATTCCCAATCGCCAAATTCAAAGGAAACTAATACAAATTAATGGAAAACTAATCAAATTCGTCCTAACCACGTCAAGGCAGGGGCCTTGCACGGCTAGTGTGAATGCTTCTATAGAAAGTCATTGAAGAATATCGTGACTGGCATATACGTGGCCCATACCAGGCAGTATGATACGAACCCAGGCTATTGCGGCTAACGTTATAAGGGGTCCAAGGCAGATCGGAGGGAAGGGCGTCAACTTGAATTGCGCCTTTTGAGAACTGCATTAAACGCATTCAATGACTGACGGAAGACTAATATTAGTTTTAAAATTGACTTGGGTAGTTGTTTAATCTGTACAGTTGATTTACCTTATCTGGACAAGCGTACTAATGCTTCCACTTAGATGTCCGTTCAGGTATAATTGTCCCTATGCCATCCGACAAAGATGGACCAAGCGCTGCGCAGGGCTAATTTTTTAGCATCTTCTAATCTAAATATTTGGTGCAAATTCATTATTTCAAATATCATTTAATTCACGCGTATGGCTGCGCTATGTAAATTTCTAAAATTAGTTTAGGTTTTCATTTGAGATGTGTGGTTTCAGCACTGGTGGTTCCTCCAAACACTATGATAAAATATTAAGCATTTAACATAAATGAATGCAATTCGCGTGCTCCCAATGTTTTTTTAATACATCTGGAATTTGATGAATGTTTGAGCTCACAATTTTCCATAACAGCTTCTGCCTACTATCTTTCTTTGGATTTATTCCTGTGACCAATATAACTATCATTAAAAATTTCGGTAAGTACCCTGTCAGAATCCACATTCACTTGTACACTTATCACCAGTGTTTATTATCCAGGAAGTACGATCGTACGAAACTTTCATTAACTTCTCGTCCCTTGCTCGAAACTCAGATTTCTGATATAGGCTTGACCGAATCTGTTGCTGTGAATGGAAGTATGGCGCTCGTATCAGACCTCCAAAAGCTCGCGGAGAGATATGCAGTGCGACCAATCTGGATTGAAGGCCAATCTGTGAAACCAAAATTATATGCGTCACCAAAATTACCAGGCGAGTAAATGTAAAGGTGTAGTTTTTGATAGTTGCTAAAATTTTACTCAGTCTTATTAGCACTATTTCTCATTGTTTACTGCTTGTATTGATAAAGTATGGTTTTTCTTACCGCTAATATGATATTGATAAATTTTATATTGAACCCGTAGCCGATTAGAAGCACATAGACGTAGGAAATTTCAAGCATGTTTAAACAATTACCCTATAATAGAAATGAGCCTGTTAACTCGCATGCAGCTTCCATTGACGTTGAACGTGTTTCAAAAATTCTGTTCCCTGCTGTGAAGTTGTCTTTCACATAACGGTTAGTCACTCCCGCTGCTCTCCTCTGAAGCACAGTGTACCTCTTTGCGACAAATTAATTATTCACACCTAATACCAGCCCGATCAAATTATCGACTAATGTTTCCATCGTGATCAGGCAGTTGACAGTCAATTCAAAGCACCTGATGTCAGTGTTACATTCAGTCATCGATGAATGAAGACGTTTTCGTACGTTTTCTTTTGAAATAAATCAGCAAGACTTCTTAATCAAATAATTACTTTCCCTTGTAATCTATATGGTTCAAATATATAGTTTCGCAACATTGGCGTTATCTATAAATTTGAAATACGCCGACAAAAATTAAACCAATCTTCTCAGCTACTTTATTAAATAAAAAAGGCATGGCAAATTAGAAGAATGTTCATGCTTCATCACTTGAAAACCGTTTTCGGTACTATCTAATTTCCCCATCGCGGCTCTCTATTTGTCAGCAAAGTCAGCGGAGTTCACTCTCATCTTGGGAAAATGTTAATCGTTTTATTCATTTGAGCGAAACTCAAAAATCCAGTAATATATTTTTTCACATCGTTATTTTTAATTCTTCTTTCCCATAATTATGTTATCCTCAAAGTGCCGCTAAAATTTTTTTATAAGCTGCTCTACGGATCTATTTTCTGCGGATTAGTTGCCTCATTATAGAGCTGTCGGTTGTTTCATTGTAATTATTCTTTGTTTAGTAAAATTTTCTTTGTGATTTTGTGCATTGTTTGATATAAAACATAAGCGACTCCTTACGCAAATTTGTTTTGATATCCGATGCAGTCCTGCGTGCCGGCATCGATTTCTTGAACCTGCAAAGGCCTTGCACAACGGACGATTGGTGGAACAGCAGAAGCCGCGTTTATGCTTCCACACAGGTATGATGAAGCAACAGATATATCGTTTATGCTGCCACACAGGTATGATGGAGCAATAGACATGTCGTATATGCTGCCACACAGGTATGATGGAGCAATAGACATGTCGTATATGCTGCCACACAGGTATGATGAAGCAATAGACTTGTATATGCTGCAACATAGGTATGATAAAGCAATAGACGTGTTTATGCTGTCACACAGGTATGATGAAGCAATAGACTTGTATATGCTGCAACATAGGTATGATAAAGCAATAGACGTGTATATGCTGCCACACAGGTATGATGAAGCAATAGACTTGTATATGCTGCAACATAGGTATGATGAAGCAATAGACGTGTCGTATATGCTACAACACAGGTATGATGAAGCAATAGACGTGTATATGCTGCCGCACAGGTATGATGAAGCAATAGACTGTCGTATATTCTGCCACACAGGTATGATGAAGCAATAGACTTTATATGTTGCCGCACAGGTATGATGAAGCAATAGACTTGTATATGTTGCCACACAGGTATGATGAAGCAATATACGTCTCGTATATACTGCAAGACATGTATGATGAAACGGTGGATATGGCGTGTGTGCTTCCACACAGGTACAGTGGGAGAGCAAAAAATGTATGTTCTTATACACGGGTATTCTGAAAGTGCAGACGTGGCCGATAAGCTTCCATTAAGGTACATTCGGACAGCATTCAAGCTTCCACATCAGTATGATGAAACTTAATACCCAACGTATATTCTCATCTATACCCCACATTTCTTTGTGTAACATTGGACGTCTTTATAAAAAGTCACGATGGGTCGCTGCCTACATCATATGCCGTCTCCCAGACGCTGGAAGGCAAGTTGTCCTCGCCACGATAGCTCTGGGGTCCATTGGTCGTATAAGTTTAGAGAACCAATTAACCATTTATCAGATCTGTCGACCAGGTTTTAAACATCCTCACTTCAACACCGTAATGGGATTCTCTCTCTTCTGACAGCAGCTTTATTTTAAATGATGAGGGTATTCTGGAACCTAGCCTTTGTCTCTTTTTATTAGTCACAATAAGTCTCGTTTCCAAAGTTGCTGGCCAGTTTGACTATCATGTTCCACGCGTACATGATAACCTGACTCATCTTTCCATAAATTTTTAGGTGCCTGCAATATTTCTACTCACGCAACACGCTGATCCATGATGTGAACATTCGATGGACTGCCTCCAATTGCCGCACTGCATCCATTGATATGCGTGACAGTGATTTCATGGATGAATCAATGATTGGATGAATCAATCAATCTATACAATCTCTTATCAATACTATTGTATTATCATCTTTTAAATGATTTAGAACAATCTTAACAATCTTCGTCTGTATTTTTTACAGTCATACAAGAAAATTTTCTTGCACTTTTCTTTCAGCATAATCGAGTAACCCGTTTGCTGGATCACTCCGTGTCCATCTTGAGATCACGGGATGAAAAATCCAACGTTGTCAAGAGTTTTCGTTCCAGCGTTGCCGGGGTTATGGACCTGAACAACGAAAATATGGAGACCGTGGTGTGAGTGGTGCTTCTTATGTCACTGTAGTTGTAGACCCGGGCCAATATTTTCAAAAAAAGTTAAGAGATCATAAGTTCATCAGCCAATCATTGACGGCCTTTCAAGCTAGATCTATCAATCATAGACAAGAAAATAGATCTTATAAGTACTTACGTTGACTTAGCTAATTTTGAAACTATGGCTCCTGAACAACGGTCGTAATGACCACTAGGAAAGCTAAAATTCGACGAAATTTTATAGTTTCTGACCGTATGTACATAATCACTTCGATATTTAATTATACTATTTCTTGTAGATATCATGACTTGAACGTTCGAGAATGACCCGTCAGTTGATATAAACCTGCGAGGATGAATTTCATGTGAACGTGCGAGGATGGCGCGTGTATTGATGTAAACGTGCAATTAAGGTCACCTTGTTTCCTCAATTAAATTTATTGTCATGTAATTCCCACCATTGAATTTACTCACGATTTTATCCTTTATCTTTTTTTCTATTTTGCACGTTTAATCAAACTAAATTTAAACAACGAAGTACGTCATTGAGAACTTTTATACTGGACAGGATACCTCGCTGGAATGGAAATACAAGCCTTCAGCACTGTCAGCTCGCCTTACACGACATCCACGTCGCTCTCGAGGAGGTCCTGGCGACTGGTGGCCCTCAAGAAAAAATACTTCCTCTTGTAACCGTAGAATGTCCAGACGTCTACACGGCGCTAGATCGCCCTGCAGTACATTTCAAGCCCCTTTTTTCAACCAATTTCTTCAAGGCAATCGCACCTAGAACGAGCGAATTAAATGAAAACCGCGTTCTTGTTAAGGTTTTGCCGTTACTTGAGAAGTTCTGCTTGGTTCTAATGCAACTCTCGGATGCCGCCCTAGCAGCCAATGAGTAAGATTAATTTGACAGCAATTTAAAATCAAAGAAAATGGCAAAAAGTCACCATTTCTTTACCTGTGTTCTAGAGACTTCAACTGACGATGGAGCTCGACTCCGAAAGATTTTCTATTAAAATGAAACTGCGAATATTTTGGTCATTTTTTGCTTTTAAATTCCTGGTAAATATGCGATTTAACCAATAAGTTGATCTTAATTCGTAAATTTTGACTTGTTAGTTGAAGGGTTATGGTGCCAGAAAAAGATTATTTTATTCAAATAGCAATTAAACAATGAACTCGAGGCTAGATAACAAGATTTCATCTAATCGCGAGTATATTCATCTCTAAAACGAGTAATATAAATCCATTTATCATGTACTTGCTCTTTTTTACATAATTCCTGGATTCATGAGATAATTAGGGGTTGACAAGGACGACACTCCTTGCTAATCTACCCCATTATTTTATGAAGTGATTAAATGTCATCATATTTAATTATCTGGATTACAATGGTCTTGTATAACAATGGTCTTTCTTCATGATGACATTTCAGGCAATCAACTTCTAACAAATCATTTCTATTTTTCAGCTTGGGCAGCGCGTATGCATTGTTGCAGACCCAGTTCCACGTTGTGAAAACAATAACTAATCTATTGCGCGTTAAGGAAGAACCCCCTGGCAACGAACGTAAAAAATTGAGAGGCAAGGATTGGCCAGCACCACTTGTCGGTATTGACAGCGTCTATACACACGTGACCACCAATTGGATGTTCGCCAAGTGCCTCATAAGCATCTACATAAATGCCCATGCTTGTCCCGATGAAGATCTAGATATACACAAAAAGCGATTTATTGAGCATCACAAGAAACGGTGCCAGACTGTATGTGATGAGCTCAAACCTCTTCTAAATCAACTACAAAAAATCGGTACGCAAAGCACTGGAATATGATGGCACGATTTTCTGTAAGTATTACTTGAGTATGCCTGTCCTGGTTATTATTTCGAGACATGCAGCTAAATTCAATTGCCTCTTAAACTTCTTGTCTACTGATGACAACACAATTTGCAAAGTCTTGTGAAACTCTAATGTTTCCAACGGTTAATATATTCATAGATAAATGATCGATTCATTGACCAGAAGTTATTACTCAGGTGTCGTCCAATAAAAATTTGTTTATATCTCTGCACCAGCGTATGATTAGTTGCTGGTCAAGTGCGAAAATATAGGCCATAATTTTCTATGGATACTTTTTCAAAAATCAGCACGGTTTCATTAGAGCTCTGGGACAGTGAATACCAATTTTTGAAGGCGGCAAATTTACTTTGACGTTTAAATATTTCTGTTTTTCGTTCTTCTTATTTTGCACTGGTTTTCTGTGAAAACTAATTTCAACTTCATTACGCCGGAGGAGCGTCGCAGTTTTCCTTTTATCATGTTTCTCTGCACATTTGTGAAGAACTTGTATATAATCATATAGGACGGACATAGTGGAAACCCAATGCTTATATTTATTTTGTCTTGCGTCCGGCTGGTAAAATTTGGCTGTCATGTACAGGCTGTGTTGACATCGCGGGCAGCTATAAATTCTCCGTTGAAGAATGTATCGTCAAAGCTCGAGACGTGATCGAACGATTGGACATTCCAGATTCGTTCAAAAGAACCAAATTCTTTGCACAGCTCATGCAGTTTTTAAAAATTCTTCGAGGTAAAATCGTGTAGATGATGCTGTAAAAATATTGTGAAATTTTTTAATTCCTCTCATTTTTCATAATAAGGTTATTCTGTTCGATTCTTCTGTAGTTTACTGCTGTTGAAATGCCAATACCAGTTTTTGTATATTTGAGTTTCGGCTTGAGTTCAGGCTCAACTGAAATTTTCCTTTGCTTTCAGCTCTCCAAATGCCACCAAATGAAACATCCACGACAAAAGAGAGTCAATTGGACCGGCTGAGAAAAGTTTTCGCTAACGCTCACGTTCTCGAACAACAGCTGATGGAGGTCGATTATCTCGTGAACGGTGATCTAAGAGTGGCACATCACATGAACATGGCAAATGTATTCCAACGTCTTGCTGCTCTTACATCGCCCATTAATCCCAACGTCACAATGGAATTGGCGAGGCAATACAAAATTGTGCGGTCGAGATTCAAGCCAGTCAAGCAGTCGCCGCAAGATCTACAAGAAAATGTAAGTTGACGTTTGCATGTATCACTCGTTACATTAGACATTTGACCCGTTAACAATAATGTGCGAAATTTTTGCTATGCAGTTTTAAGCGTTTGTTTTCTGTACGATTTTACTGGAAGTTGTCCAGCAATTGATCGATCACAAGGCTCGGTGAGGCTCGAACCTTTTATCTGTTTGAAATCAATGTCTCGAATAGGGGATTACGGCGAGTAATATTGTTTGCCGTCTCGGTTCCGAGATTTCCTGTAGCTTCATATTGAATCCCTTCCATAGCATGAGCATTCAGTTCTATTCCGCTTTTCCCCAGTGCCTGCTCTCTTTGAAAAATGCTTTGGCTCTTTTCGATAACGAAAATTTCCATTGGGAGACCAGTTCGCCCGCTGCTAAGATGAGCTACATCGGAGTGCTTCAGAAAGCTGTTGTCATTACCACCATGATTCAACTTCAGTCCGTCGATATGAACGTGAGTTCCATATTGCTTAAATTAAGTTTCGTGATTGTATTGCTCAAATTAAGTTTCGTGTTGCTCAAATTAACTTTCGTATTGATTAAGCGTGAGTTTCGTATTGCTTCAGCTGCATAGTAAGTCTCGACTTCGAAGCTGGACGAACCGACGCCTTCGATTCCCCGAATTAATTTATGGACTGAATTGTCAGGTAAAGACTCGTCCACGCTTCATCAGTGTGGGAATTGGGAGAATACGTTCGTCCTGTATTATTTGCTGATTACGGAATATCAACGAGTCTGATGTCAGTTTATAGGAAAGCGTAATGCAACTATTATTTATTCGATCAACCACCCACATAATTTTTGTATAATAACACACAATTAAAAGTGTTAAACGCAAATCAAGGAGCATTGGTGTAAGTGATTTTGTAATTGTCGAAAATGGGCAAAATCGAAAAATTTTTGACGAATTTGCAAAAAATGCCCCCACACCCACAAAAATGAAAAATTGCAAAAACCACAAAAGACCAGTTTTTGATATGGTCTTTATGCATCGAATGATATGTGTCTCGATGTTGTAGCTTGAAAATCCTAGGAAGAGATTTGGCCTCCATTTTGGCCGTTTTCTAAGAATTTCACGTTTTCTTCCATTTTTTTCCAAAAATTCACACGAACAAAAAAGTCTTAGAATTCTGTTTTACATATACGTACCAAGTTTCAAAGTGATCTGTCTGTAAATAACCAAGATAAAATTTGGGGTAGACGCTCCCAAAAATCCACGCTGATGAACATTTATTTATAAAAGTAATGAAGTTGTGCCCCTTGACAGGACGACAGAGGACATATGCTCATTCTGGACACTTGGCGGAGAATCGTCAGAATCTGCGAAGTAGAGGAAACTCTCAAGGCAGGAGGTTTGAACTGTATATGTCTAAGGCTTGACTTCTGACAATATAATATACTTAGGTAGCAACAGATTTTACATACCACCGCCATTCACGGGTCAGCCTAAAGTAAACAAAAATCCAACTAGAACAATTTGTTAACGATTTAATCAAAGGTTTTACTACGTACATTTTCAGTCCTCTTCGTTTTGTTATACCAGGTTTACAGACAAATCCTGGAAACGTTGCAGAAACTGGTCCTTCTAAGCAAGCACATGCAGGGATAAAAAACAAAATTTTCGAAGACTTGACGGGTTATTCCGCAAAACAGATAAAAATTGGGGGCCCATCAAGAACTAACGTATCCTTGGATGAGTCCACCACTCAGAAGGCGATTCCTGGTTCAACACCTTCCAGTTCACAACAAATTTCTGTAGACAAGCAAAAGATGGATAAAGGTCAATCGAAAACTAACGTATCCTTGAGTGAAGCGACCACTCAGCCGACAACTCACGGTTCATCACCTTCCAGTTCACAACAAGATTCCTTACAGAAGCTACTGCATGAACTGCTGCTAATTGAGAGAAAGCGAGATAACTTGGATTTTCGTGGAGTTAAATTATTTCGACGAAACTCCGCTAATGGCATGGGTGTGTGTGAGAGCGTTGGACTACCAAAACTTATACACCCGAGTGACACGCTTTCGTCCGTTGGCCAACCATCTGGTATGCACTCTCAAAGCGAGTCTCACGATCAGCCTCGTGAGCCGCCCTATAGAGCTGCTGGGATACAACTTTCCTCCCCTCGCAACCGGCACCCATCTGCTTACAGCGATCAGCTCCCTTCTGCGTCCAGCGATCAGCTGCCTTGTGCATCCAGCGATCAGCAGCGTTATGCGCCCAGCGATCAGCTGCCTTCTGCGTCCAGCGATCAGCTGCGTTATGCGTCCAGCGATCAGCTGCCTTGTGCGTCCAGCGATCAGCAGCGTTATGCGTCCAGCGATCAGCAGCGTTATGCGTCNCAGCGCTGATCAAGCACGAACAACACACAGCGCTGATCAAGCACGAACAACACACAGCGCTGATCAAGCACGAACAACACACAGCGCTGATCAAGCACGAACAACACACAGCGCTGATCAAGCACGAACAACACACAGCGCTGATCAAGCACGAACAACACACAGCGCTGATCAAGCACGAACAACACACAGCGCTGATCAAGCACGAACAACACACAGCGCTGATCAAGCACGAACAACACACAGCGCTGATCAAGCACGAACAACACACAGCGCTGATCAAGCACGAACAACACACAGCGCTGATCAAGCACGAACAACACACAGCGCTGATCAAGCACGAACAACACACAGCGCTGATCAAGCACGAACAACACACAGCGCTGATCAAGCACGAACAACACACAGCGCTGATCAAGCACGAACAACACACAGCGCTGATCAAGCACGAACAACACACAGCGCTGATCAAGCACGAACAACACACAGCGCTGATCAAGCACGAACAACACACAGCGCTGATCAAGCACGAACAACACACAGCGCTGATCAAGCACGAACAACACACAGCGCTGATCAAGCACGAACAACACACAGCGCTGATCAAGCACGAACAACACACAGCGCTGATCAAGCACGAACAACACACAGCGCTGATCAAGCACGAACAACACACAGCGCTGATCAAGCACGAACAACACACAGCGCTGATCAAGCACGAACAACACACAGCGCTGATCAAGCACGAACAACACACAGCGCTGATCAAGCACGAACAACACACAGCGCTGATCAAGCACGAACAACACACAGCGCTGATCAAGCACGAACAACACACAGCGCTGATCAAGCACGAACAACACACAGCGCTGATCAAGCACGAACAACACACAGCGCTGATCAAGCACGAACAACACACAGCGCTGATCAAGCACGAACAACACACAGCGCTGATCAAGCACGAACAACACACAGCGCTGATCAAGCACGAACAACACACAGCGCTGATCAAGCACGAACAACACACAGCGCTGATCAAGCACGAACAACACACAGCGCTGATCAAGCACGAACAACACACAGCGCTGATCAAGCACGAACAACACACAGCGCTGATCAAGCACGAACAACACACAGCGCTGATCAAGCACGAACAACACACAGCGCTGATCAAGCACGAACAACACACAGCGCTGATCAAGCACGAACAACACACAGCGCTGATCAGGCACGAACAACACACAGCGCTGATCAGGCACGAACAACACACAGCGCTGATCAAGCACGAACAACACACGACGCTGTAACGCCATCTTTCGACGGTGACAAATCAGCCGAGAGTTTGGCATTCTATTTCTATGGCTTGTCACTGACCTACCTCGGCTTCCACAGCCGGTAAGTAAATCTCTTGTTCATTTCGTATTCAGCAGTTTATTATAACTTAACTGTGATCATGTTTGCCCCCCGAAAATGAAATTTTTCTGTTTTAGTATAATCAAAGTGTTTTTTTCAATGGACCGGTCATGATATAATGTTTAGGTTTTGTTAAGATTTCCTTATCGAAACGTTTCAAATTTTAGCTTGCTCTGCTATTTATATAAAATGAGAAGAATATCCGTTGAACCACAGCTTAACTGTCCATGACTTTGTGACGCCATGAATGGTTGGTTATTTCTTCATGTTCATTCCCTGATAGCGACGGAAGCGGCACTGGCGACAACTCTAACGTTCGCGACGCGCGCTACTACCTTTTCTGTGCTGCTCATTTCTGCCGCCACAGACCCAGCTTGTTCTTTTATATCGTAGACCAATTCTATTCCCAGCTTCTCGACGCAAGATTTCAACCGTTTCAATGTGAGTCTGCTTTTATCAAATGGTATTTTTGTCAAACTTAAGGTGCTTATACCCCTGGAAAGTTTTAGACGATAGTATTAGCGGTAAGTACGTTGCTTTTTTATTTTTGCCGTGTGTGAGCTTGTACACGAAAAAGTTTAGCTAAACAGTATTTTCTCATCTGCAATAGCCAATGTGGGGAACGCAGCCGTGCACCACCAAATTAATGCAACAATCAGACCTGGAAGGAACGCCTAGCATATTTCCGGATGACAACCAATCAGCCGCGGATTTAGACATCCGTCAATAACCAGCCCATGACATCATCTTGCTTTAAATATTAAATATTAGCTTTACGCCACCATATTCTGAAGCCAATAGCCCAGAGAGTAATGGCTGTCCACCACTGAACGTTGCTTCGTATCATCACTTCCTACCCCGACTTGAGCTCGAACTGTAACATGCGGACAACGGACTGCGACCAACCAGCCCAGGTCGCCAGTGGAACTGCATGCATCCTGCCGTGCACCACAAGACCGTCACTTTTAGCTCACAGCATTGGGGTTAGGTTTCAGATAGCATAGTTCTGTTCCAAAATTTATCGTCCTACGAGTGGCCGTACGACCGTAGATTGATGCGACACACGGGACAGATACCGATGGGTCGGTGGCGGGCATCACATTCATTGCAGGGCTCCGGCGCGCTCCGTCCGGGTGGTGTAAAATTTTTCGCGTACTGGCAGACGATTCTGGGCCATACTACGTCAGGCTACTGTCCTGTGGGCTGATTGATCTAATTCAATGGATGTGATCTGTCTGGTGGCTTGCGGCTGATAATGTTTGTCAAAAAGTGTTATAGGCTACGTTCTTGAGGGAAGGGATCATGATAGTCAATTGGAAGCACGACAGTGATGGTCTCCGACAGGCGTCCCATATCTGGTATTTGAAGTAGAAAGTTCTTGTCGTAATTACTATCGGCTAATTCTTTTCCAGTGTATAAGTACCTTACTGGAATTCAACAGTCTTCACCATTCTATAATTTACGTTTCGGTTTACGGTTTAATTCGATTGCGGTTTAATTCTTCTCTACCAACGAAAATTTTCCGGTCTCTAAAAACTAGTGCATTTCTGTATCTTAATGTATTCAAAGAAGAATGTTATGAAATGATGATGAAATGTTGTTGCCATTTTTTATGCATGTATCATGACGCTGAAATCGAGGCGAAAAATTATACATGAAAATTTAGCACTAACTGCGCCAAGCAGCATGGAATATTGAAGTTAGCCTAAACGTTTTAGCTAGCTTTAGAGTTATCAACAAAATAAATTGGCTAAAGTACATGTTTGGTACCGGAAACTACTTTAACGACCTTTAAGGGTTTTATACAATTAATGCCAATTTTTCTGCTTTTTCCCTTGTTATAGATTCATCTTACTATGACGAAATCGATCCCACGATCAACCACATCATGAAACTGGTTCAACTTCTACCCATTTTGTGGGAACTCGCTATCTTCTACCAGGTTCCGGGGGGACCCTGCCATTGTAAGTCATGTGGAGAATGTCGATTTCCTGTACAGTGGAAAATTAGAGTATAACAATTGATATCTCTCTGTAAACGTCTAGGTTAGCCGAGTTAAAAATAGGATTAAAAGTATTTCGAGCACTTGATATAGCCTAATAGCGACTAACTTTTTTATTCATCATTGGAGATTAATGATATAATATAAATTGAAACTGAGGTAATGAAAAACTAATTTAACTGTGAATGCATGACTTTCAGTTAATGAGGTTCATCCATTGTTACTTGCCATATCTAACTGGGAGCGCAAGGCCCCTGAAATGTCAAGTATGAGATATGACCGAGTATTTGAAGAGATAAAAATTAAAATTTGGATGTGATGATTTACAAAATTGCGTCAGTAGATGAATTATGCTCAATTTGCAAGGTTCAGAGTTTGTGCCTTCTGAAGTATACCGTCGATACTCTAGCCGTGACCTGAGAGCCGGTGCGTACCGGCAACTGTGACGACTGAAAAACTGGAAAATTTAACGTTTCCATCCGTAAAACTTGTTCTGAGAGAGTGCTGCATGAACTTTCAAACCCAAACGCTTTAAACCATATATCAACTAACTTGCGGGCTTTGGATGACATTGTTTTCTCAGCAAAGTAAATATTTTCAATTTAAATATTTGTCTGTTTACATTTCATCCCACTCTGTAGACTCGGGAGTTGTGATGGATGCCATTGAATTGCCGATTTATCAACGAGATCTCAACGCCACTCAATCCAAGCATACGGATAGTAAATACTTGTGTAAATCTCGGGACTTACCTGCTGCTGTACACAAACTGAAAATACCCGTTTACTTGCCACCATTTGTGTCTTCTATTAAAATCAGCACTCAGCCACATCAAGTAGGCGCATTTCAACATCCTCATTCTTCTCAAGTAAATAACCCAAACGAATTTCACGAATCGAGAGCTGCTGCTGTCCTGCAACTGTTTCACTGCATGGAAGAATCGATAAGTTTCGATTTCATTTATGAGGAAGAAGAATTCAAGGCTCATATTGTCGAAGATTATTGCACAATGGCTTCAATTTTCTCTGATATCATTGAACCGATGAAGAACTGGGAGAATGCCCAGGAAGTTTGTGATGCTCGTATCTTGACTGAAACGACTGCAATTTGCGTAGGAGAATCACTGATACGAATTTTGGATGGATGGCTTTTCAAGCCGCCGAATACAGAGACTCGTTTGCTTAGAGATACGCTCATCAGGAGTTTATCAGCTGTCGTGTCTGTAATTGCCGCTTTTTATGGGGCTATGTATGGTTGGGGCTTGACGAAACCTGGTGATGCGACGCACGACTGTTGGGCTCAACGCATCTCGTCAAGAATCTCACTGAAGTTGAACGACCAACTATGTCTCGGAGCCCGGGAACATGAGGACTCTGAAACACGTGTTCAGAAGTTCTTTGAAAATATCGAATTGAAAGTTCCTAATTTCGAACCAAATCTCGACTTGACACAGGACATTTTAATTTCCATGATGGACTCTAAAATATCGGCTCCAATTGACCACGACGAGCTCGAATTGACGAGGGGCATGGAGCTCATTGAAAACCTGACTTTGAATTTTGCTTGGTGTATACTGAATAAGTTGAATACGAGACAAGGATCAGTCTCGCCAGCAAAAATCCTAAAAGATATCTGTGGGGCCTTCGTTGAACGGATTTCTCAACTTAACGCTCATACTGTGAGTACGGCAAGCTTCGTCGGTCGGTTGACCATAGAGGAAGACCAGTACACGGAATATCATGAAGAGGTTCTTTATAATTTTGATGAGCAAATAGTTGTGAAAGAAAATTTCAACTTTAACGAAATATCGAAAAATAAGCCTAGACTCTTCACTAACGTCGAACCCTACGTCGTAGAAGACGAGCAAGCTTTTAAACGAGAATTGCAATTCAATCATCCTTACCTCAAATATTTCTTGGATCACTCATTGAATGAATTCCCATCAGAAGACTCGCATCAATTCGATGTAAAAAAGAAATTTCAAAAAATTAAAACCGTTCTTGAGAAACTTTTAGATGCTCTTATCGCCATTCTAAAACTCGACGCCCAACTCAAAACTCGAAGGTGAGTGAGCATTTCATTCATTGATGATTTTAATATGAAGTGACTTCAGAACTTCAGACTTTGATTGAGAAGTAGCGATTTATCTCGTTTGTCTCGAGCAAGATTTCCATCCTTCGATATTTGCTTTATAATTAGACGGCTGATTGAGAGATATCGGTCCCTGTCTTGTTCATATTATATACTGAATGCGCACTGAATGTCCTTTGATGAAGATTTTCCTAAATTGCAGGTACGTCTTCGATGCTTCTGTATTTGGACGTTGGGCTGGTTTGGACGTTGGGCTGGTTTGGACGTTGGGCTGGTTTGGACGTTGGGCTGGTTTGGACGTTGGGCTGGTTTGGACGTTATCAGGCGGTGTCAGTGAACCGAGGGTCAGGCGGTGTCAGTGAACCGAGGGTCAGGCGGTGTCAGTGAACCGAGGGTCAGGCGGTGTCAGTGAACCCGAGGGTCAGGCTTTGTTAGCGGTTCAACGAACCGCGGGTAGGGTTTGCCAGTGAACCGTAGGCTAGGTTCTGCCAGTGAAGGCATTTGATATTTACCATTTCTCCTAATTTGGCTAATTTGTGTACCAGTTAATCTGCATGCTCGATCGTCAGATCATTTGCGGTACAACATGCAAGGTTTTAATTTATTCAAGCTTTGGAATTGTGGAGTTTGGCTTATTGTTCTCAAATTTTAAAATTTTATAAGTAAATATCCCTATCCTGTCTCGTGATTTTATGTTCAGTAAAAGTTTTGAACTTTCTTACCGGTGTCTTCAATTTTTACTTTCTTTTCGTGATTCGTTAGTATTAACACCAAATATATGTAAACGCCGCCTAAATTGTGAATAAAGAAAGTGAGCGCGGTGCCAGGCACTATCTGTGAAATTATAAGGCATTAAATTAAGTCAATTCTACAGGTTAAAGTTATTTAACGATTAAAAAAAGTTTTCTTCAGTTAGCCGAGCCTTGGATTATGTTAGAGCTACATAATGACTTGTGCTCATCAAATTGCTGCCAAAGTAAATGCATCACTATTAAAAATGCATCACTATTAAAAATGCATCACTATTAAAAATGCATCACTATATAATATATTATCATATTATTATATTATTAAAGTATATGCATCACTGTAAATGCATCGCTATAACATTTGCTACGCCAATTTAAATGAAGATCATGCAGCGCTTGCTAGCAAGTTTAATTGATAACTTATTTCTTTCATAACTTAGCCTATCAACCTATGAGCCTTTACTTTCTCCACGAAAAAGTCGCGAGAATGAGAAGTGAAGCGAGCTAATCGGAAACTAAACGTCGTAAAAATTAGTTGGAAAAATATTCGTGGCGTGATGCTATTAATTAAATGTATATTAATTTTAATGCAAAACCTTTTGCATTGGAGTTGAGCGCTGTAAAGTTCCACAATAATATATTTTTTTCAGTCTATAATTTCCTCTAGCCCGTCTTTGCGGTAGTTACCCCCTCGTAAAATGGAACGTAGAAAATGAATTTGAACAGAGAAAATTATTGGAACGTAAACTATCTAATTTGACAGACATGTTTTTTGTGTCACCAAGTTGGCATATCTGATTTCGGTCACTTAGTACCTATGTTGGCAAGCAAATTTAGTCTTTGGGCATTTGTAATTTAAGACTCCTATGGTTTATATCTAGCCTGTGGTATTAAATAGTGATAATCTCCAGCATCGCTCAGTTTTGTCTTAAGAATCCCTGTCTTCAGTGTCTTGCTTATAGGTTGAGTTGCTTTCATGATGCGGTGGCGCAGGGATGATGGTGTGATAGTGCATGAGTGTAGCTGTTGTGGTGATGTTGTGGGAACAGTGCCAGTGGTGTAACTGAGCAGTGGTCGTGGTGGTGTGATGGTACTGACCTGGTAGTACTGCGGTGGTGTTGTTGTGGCGGTGATTCTGAGGAGGTGGGATGATTCAATGGTGGTGGTGGGATGGTTGCGGTGGGATTGTGGCGCTTTGGTTGCGTGGTGAGATGCCGGCAGCGGTTCAGCCGCCACTGCCAAATAATTAGCATATCGCGCATTTCCAACCAAAATTTTTATAAAACCTACAACCTCTCCGATCTTCACGCCCATAGACTCGGCCATTTTACTTTCGGTGGCAAGTAGACCAAAAGGTGAAGCGACAGGTTCTGGTTGGACGTAAACCACCGATGAGGCAGATGGTTGTGGTAGGAAGTAAACCACCGATGAAACAGATGGTTGTGGTTGGAAGTAAACCACCGATGAGGCAGATGGTTGTGGTTGGAAGTAAACCACCGATGANGTAGCAGCAGTAGCAGCACCATCAGTAGCTGGCAGAAGTAGCAGCAGTAGCAGCACCATCAGTAGCTGGCAGAAGTAGCAGCAGTAGCAGCACCATCAGTAGCTGGCAGAAGTAGCAGCAGTAGCAGCACCATCAGTAGCTGGCAGAAGTAGCAGCAGTAGCAGCACCATCAGTAGCTGGCAGAAGTAGCAGCAGTAGCAGCACCATCAGTAGCTGGCAGAAGTAGCAGCAGTAGCAGCACCATCAGTAGCTGGCAGAAGTAGCAGCAGTAGCAGCACCATCAGTAGCTGGCAGAAGTAGCAGCAGTAGCAGCACCATCAGTAGCTGGCAGAAGTAGCAGCAGTAGCAGCACCATCAGTAGCTGGCAGAAGTAGCAGCAGTAGCAGCACCATCAGTAGCTGGCAGAAGTAGCAGCAGTAGCAGCACCATCAGTAGCTGGCAGAAGTAGCAGCAGTAGCAGCACCATCAGTAGCTGGCAGAAGTAGCAGCAGTAGCAGCACCATCAGTAGCTGGCAGAAGTAGCAGCAGTAGCAGCACCATCAGTAGCTGGCAGAAGTAGCAGCAGTAGCAGCACCATCAGTAGCTGGCAGAAGTAGCAGCAGTAGCAGCACCATCAGTAGCTGGCAGAAGTAGCAGCAGTAGCAGCACCATCAGTAGCTGGCAGAAGTAGCAGCAGTAGCAGCACCATCAGTAGCTGGCAGAAGTAGCAGCAGTAGCAGCACCATCAGTAGCTGGCAGAAGTAGCAGCAGTAGCAGCACCATCAGTAGCTGGCAGAAGTAGCAGCAGTAGCAGCACCATCAGTAGCTGGCAGAAGTAGCAGCAGTAGCAGCACCATCAGTAGCTGGCAGAAGTAGCAGCAGTAGCAGCACCATCAGTAGCTGGCAGAAGTATCAGCAGTAGCAGCACCATCAGTAGCTGGCAGAAGTGTCAGCAGCAATTGCAGCAACAGCACCAGCAGCGGCAGCCCAAGAATGAGGTTGTTCGGGCAAGTGAAAACTAAACACGCGGTTACGGAGGAGGGAGGGTGGGAGAACGAGGAGGATGGTTGGATGGAGTAACCAAGGGACAGAAGGAGGGAGTGAAGGAAAGAAGGAGGGATTTCAAGATGGGTGATAACAAATGCAAAAATGGAGGGACTACACGGGATAACTTATAGTGAGTTTCTTCGTTCCAGCTCTTAGTTTTGCAACATGTTTAAATGTTTCAAGAGTATTAGGTTTTTGACAAGACGACAGCTCGTGAGTTAGGGAGAACTCGGGACATTCATCGCTGCTGTTGCGGTCAAGTACCACAACCTGCAACTGACGGCAGCTAGTAACAGTGATTACAGCTGACTTAAGCAAGTAGCATTATTTTCTGCCGCTGACGGTGGGAAGTAACAATTAATGACGGCAACCGTCTGAAGCAGGCAACAGCAAGTAGAACAAACTGGAAGAACATCAGCACAGAATAGCTACTGATACTGAATATCGGAAGCAACTGTAAAGTGTTCTGCAACAGCTGAAATATGTTCAGCTGTACCGTTATTTACTGAACATAGTCGCTACTGTACACGATATAAGTCGCTACTGAACATAGCTTCAGCTATGAATGCAACCTATACAGCAGCATGTGGGAGCTACTGAACATGAGCTACAACTGCGCGTATGGCACACGTATAGGAGTATTCGCTCCAGTTCCGTTGAAGGCTTTTGCTACTTGGACAGCTCCTTTGCTCTCAAAAGAGCCTATGTGCTAAACTCCTGCACTCTGAAGTACAAGGCAAGAGATTCTGCTTTGTTGAAGTCCGCCTGGAGAAGACCCTTAAATTTATTAGAAAGTAAAACCTTGAATTGTTATTTATTGTGCTTGGACGGATTTCGTTTAAATAACTCTATAGTGTATTTATGCCTCTATTCAGCTTTGTCAGATAGAAAAATCATTCAATAACAATTTGAATCAGGATCTAGATGTAATATAGTATTGTAAAGATCTGTTCAAAAAATTTCATTACTCCAAAGGTTATTCCGCAAATATTCAGTGCACAAAGAGGTTCTGTTCTTCCAACGTCTTGTTGTTTTAATGGGATGTTCAGTACTCGTCAAGAGCCGCTGAACAATCAGTAAAAGGATTTCTAAAAACCGATGTACGGTAATCAGAAGGATAGACTGCTGCTCAGAACACTGACTGAGAGGTTTCGATTGCTGATCGCGACTCTGACTCAGAGGGTTTTACTGCTGCTCAGCACACCTACTCGAAGGGTTTGACTGCTGTTATTTTTGACAATAATTTGTAATGTAAGGACATAAAGATGGATTACTGTTACTTGAGAGTAGCAGTCGCAGTTCACGAGTGCTGTGCTGACGGTTGTTAAACTTAATTGATGGAAGATGTATTCTTGCGTTTAGATGCGGCTTGAGATTTATTAATTGATATCTTACATGAATACGAGATAACTTAGAAATATAATAATAGAATGAGACTAGTCACATATAGATTTCTTGCAATTCCGATAGTATTATATAAATATTGTAGGGTAACGTCAGAGAACTTAGCCTTCAATTCAGGTCACAATTTCATTCGATTCGGTTCCGCAGACGCCAGGATCGATGTTGTCATGCAACTTGAAAAAAAAGTTGGAGATGAAAGTCCTTGCCCTCCTTGGGCTAGTCGCTGCAGTCCACATGGTCTGCAGTGTCGCTGCATGCGTCCCCTATCTTCCCATCTGATTATAAATTCACTCAATCCTCCATTGACAGCAATCTGTCCACGTGCTCCTCTCATGTACATACATCTTTTTCCAGCACTCAATCCACTCAGACCATTCCTGAACATCAATTCATGTTGTCCCCTCCTAGATATTAGTAAGTAGAGTGTTTACCTTCCTGCATATTAGTATGGAAAGTGTATACTTTCCTACAGGTCAGTCTACGCATCACTCTTATGAACCCAAGCCTCCGTCTTTCCCTCCGGCAAATTGTATTCGCTTTCGTCTCCAGCACGTTAGTTTACGCCAGTGGTTCCCAAACTTTTGCAGGCTGGCGCCCCTTTGTCTCCCCAGTAAATTTTTATCACCTCCCTACAGAAACGCATGGAAACAAACTCCTCTTTCTTGATGTTTTTATGCTG